CAGTGTTCCTACGGGAAAGTAACGGTAATCTAATTACCGATTTTGCAATAGTAATCCCTTACTTTACTCGTTACTTGAAAAAAGTAATCAGATTACAGTAACGCGTTACAAGTAACCGTTACTGCCCATTCTGCCTGCCATCAAGATAAGCCTTCAGTTTCTATTCCTAGGACACTTTAGGTATTTCCACTTAATAATAATGCAGACTTCCACTTAACAGTTAAGTTAACTGTTAAGTGGAAATCTGCATTATTCCACAGCAGTTTTATGATGCACACTCTGAAAGCAGCACAATTTTCAGGTGCCACTTCTTTCCAGTAGTTTCCTTGTCCAGAATCCTACTGTGGATCTTTGTGTATCATTTAAATAGGTCAGCACATACAACATATTCCTTTATTTCAGTGTTGGGAAAAAGGATTTGCCCCCTTCCTGATTAACTAGATTTTGCATGTTTGATTCAATAAAAATTTTCAGACTATCAAACAAACAAATTTCAGTATCAGAAAAAGATAACCTGGTGGATACAAAATGCAGACAAGGAAACTGTGGAAAAGATTACATTAATGGGACGGTTCCAAGGAGAAACGCGCTGAACTCAAACACTCGTTTCACATTTTCCAAAAAAACATCTTGATAATCTGCAAGATTTTTGGCCCAATGCATCTGACATAAAATTAACACAGAATTTCATAAAAATAGCATCATAACAACAGTCAATGACTGTGACACTCAGTCATACAAACATTTAGGCTCGATAGCTGTGTGTTTACATGCCAGTGAAGCATCTTTAGTGCAACACAACTTGTATATACCAGGGAAAGAATATCAAAAGGCACTATAAGAAATTATAATTGATACTGATTGATATTGATATTATTTAATGTTTCTTAGTTGTATTGATCTCCTCCTGTCTGATCTTTCTATTATTCCGCTATTGTGCAGAGATGTGGAGCTCTACCACCACCCAGTGCTTTGTACTGGACCTGCAGGGTGCTGAAACAGCAGATGAATCAGCAACAAAGGGATCTGTTTACCTGCAGGGCTGAGATTCATAGTTTTTTGTTTAAAACAAAAAAACTTCATGTCCACTGAGACTGAGAGCTGACTGAATGCATTTACCACACAATAGCTCACTGAGCTTTCTTTAGTTTCCATTTAAAAATTGTTGAGGGTGAACATTGCCTCCACATAAATACAGGGTTCTTTTTAATCAGTGACATCAATCAAGTTGCCCTTGTTTCTTTTAGCTTTAATTTTCTTTTTTGCTGGCAGGTTGTCAGCTTGGTGGCATAAAAATAGTCCCAGTGGTCATCTAGACAGGTTGTTGTCTGAGTGGTGAAATCTCACAACCTGATGAGTATTCAGAGAAAGACACCGTCACATCTGCAAGCAATCAAAGCACCGACATAGAGTGTGTAAGGATGTCATTGATTAGCAGACTGCAACAAGGGAGCCAGACTCTTGTTAATGCCCACACAGGCAAGCACAACAAATGGTTTTCTTATTGTTTACTCTGCAGTCATTCGATTTTCACCACTTACATGTGGCTGCGATCTACATTGCTCTGGGTTTTTCTGTTTTTTGTTGTTGCTTTTGCAGAAACAAATTCATCACTGGGGAAAGCACTTAACTTTACTACAGACTAACACCTGAAGCATCATTATAGTATCAGCATGAGAGCCATAATAACTTCCATCAGACTCTGCAGGTGTAAATAAAACAGATTATCTCACAAATGCAAATTCAGAGTTTAGGCACATCCCTCCCGCACATTGGTATTCAAACACATTAAGCCTCATTTGATGTGGTGTACTTTAATTTATGAAGGATCAAAGTATGTTTTGCCCTCTGGTTGGGGTGAAAAAAATCAGGCAGCATGTGGGATTAAGTGTCTTGCTCAAGGACACTTCTGTAAAAAAGCCAGGCCGTCTGCTAAAAAGCTGATCTCGCAAGCCACGAGGAAATGCTTCAGCTTGGTTAGCACGTGGATGGAACAACTAATACCCATTTGGCAATTTGCACTCATTACAGGCAATTGATTTGTAGTGGACTGTTGAAAATATTCCCATAGAAAATGCATACAATTAATTCTGTGGATTATCTCTTCAGTTCCATTGTACTAGGCACAAATTCTGAAAAGAGATTATTAATTTGGAACGCTCTGAGTGGCACAAATTCCATTCAGCTCGTCTAAAAACCTAAAAATTAAAAACACTCAAAACTACCTACATGAAAAGCTATCACTAGAGGTCACTTTGATAACTGCCAGCTCAAATAACCAGACGGGAGGGAGGCATGTAATTGATCTGTGGGATTTCTGTGATTTTAGTCCCAAAAAGTCCCAAAAAATATTTTTCATGGTTTTTGGTTTTTTCACAATTTAACTTTTATTAATTTCTTTCCATTTTTGAAAGCTTTGGTTTTTCTGGTGTTTGTCTTACCTAATATATGTGAAGTTGTAGAGCAGGGGTAGGCAACTCCAGGCCTCGCGTGCCTGTGTCCTGCAGGTTTTAGATCCCACCCTGGGTTAACACACCTGAATCAAATGATTAGTTCATTACCAGGCTTCTGGAGAACTTCAGAAATGCTGAGGAGTCACTTGAGGCCTGGAGTTGCCTACCCCTGTTGTAGAGCCACATTGAAACCACAAGCCACTGTACTCCAAATGCTAATCCCAAACCCAGATAAATGAGAAAGGTTGCATCAGCGAGTTTTAAAATCTTTGCCAAATCAAATATGCAGATCATCACAAATGAGACTTCCATGCTGGGCTCAGATTAACAACATCCACCACTGGAGCTCTTACTTAGCAGGGTGCCAGAAGAAATTATGCTAAGGAAGATGCATGGTGGTGACCCCCTGAAGGAAGCAACGAAGAGCAGAAGGAGAGGAGGACAAAGACGCTTTGATCTGGATGTCTGTGTCTGAGGGTGGTCTGCATCCACAGGTCACACAGTGTGTTTGCTTTGTTTACTGATCTCCATCATCTGAATAAAAGCAGTTTCAAGTTAATATAACTGTTACAGGTGAAATCTGTCATTTACAAAAGCACTAAGATCATTTCGGTGCTGTAGCACCTGAAAAATTGGGGTCAGATGTCTCCTGCCTGCATTACCATGTGTCTAAACCTTGATTGGATTCCAACCGGGGTAAACTGGATTAATTGGACATAGTTTAGAAAGACACTAAGCTCTGTGTGTGTGTGTGTGTGTGTGTGTGTGTGTGTGTAACCAAACAGTCACTCTAACAAAGCTTAGCTTTTGCACAGAGGCCTTAATGGTAAAGCAGCTCTGAGTAATAGGTGTGATTGCCCACCAAACAGCATTTGAAAGCACTAGAATAAGAGACTGTCTGGTGTAATAAGACATAAATTAAGCCCTTTGGTGAGAACTCCAAGCAACTCGTTTGACAAACTGCAGGTACAGCTCATTACCTGACAGTACTGTCCCTGAAAAAAGCGTGCTGGAGCAGTATGACATAATGTAGATGCCTCTAAGCAATGACCTCAAAGGGAGGATTATTACATGTTACATGTTACATAAATCTGGTCCAGAGCGCACCAGCATGAGACTGAAGTGAAGGTCCCCAATGATCTGAAGCATACAGCTAAGACTGTACTGGAAGGGAAGGCAGAAGGCTCTCGCTGATCAGGCAGAAAGGGATAAACTGCCCGATCCAAAGACAGCTTAACATTGTAATCACTGTCAAATGGGCTTCTAGAAAGAACAAAATATGGGCTCTGAATCTAAAAATTAACAACTCAAATCTTCAACAGAAATGTCCAGAAACATACTTTTACATCATTGGTTGTTAAGTGTAGAATTATAGGGAAAAAGGGCAGTTTTCTACTTTTAAAAGTTGTGTAGTGTTACTTTAATAATAGGGGGTCAATAAAGCACCTTATGTGTCACTCACACGATTACTTTAATGTTTTTTTTCCTTATTTCTTCTTTCACTGCAGAAAATAACTGCTGTTGTTAAAAAACAAACGTGTCATTTGCTGAACAACATGTAATTTACATTGTAAATGTGTGCCGTTACTAAATCTAATGTGTGTTTTCCTTTCCACTTATGCTTGAATAATCGTATTAAGACAATGTGTAATTACCCAGAAGATGTCCAAACACTAAACTGAGCGTGAGCTGTGGAGACTAAAACATAAGCACTTCATCTTGTTGACAAGTCACCATCAAAGCTTTTATTCCTCTCACGAGAGGAATATTTTAAGGTAGTTTCAGCTTTCATCATTAAAGCTGTGATACAGGGTTTTGCCTTCTCATTATAATACCAAGAAAAAGATGGACTTCAAAGTAAAATAACATAATTAAAATGTTTTATTATTTTATTATAATAAGACTTAACATGTAAAATAAAGTCACCTTTTCTCAGTTTCTCCACTCTGGTCAGTCTTCCCATTATTGAAATGTTAGGTTAAAAAAAATCTTAAGACAGGAAAATTTCTTCAAATCTGAAACAGGCGAAATGGACAGTATGATAGATGAAATTTGCCCATTTTAACATTAAACAAAATAAACTCTGTGAAATTGTTTTTCAAATTAATAGTCCAATGTAACTGAACATAAAAAGTCCCTAAAGCTCCTTTTCATACTCACTTCTGTCTCAGCCTCCCTCACACAGACTTTGGATGCCTGGATGTGGAACTTCCCACCTGAATCCAGTTAGCAGGTGATGTGTTCGGAATTTGAGCCTTCCGGCAGATCAAACTGCTGCCTGAACTCCTGCCACCTATAGAAGCAGCATTCTTTTTTTTCTTCCCCCCAGTTTCCTGCCTGACAGCTCCTATGGAGAAATGCGCTGAGTGTCCATGGTCAGGTCAAATTGCTCTCCCTCCTCCAGCAGCAGGTAGGAGCCTGCAGAGGATTGGAAAGATGTGTCTCTTCCAAGATTTTTTATTGAAGTTTGCACATAAGCTGTAGGCTGCTGTGCAGATCCTGCAGGTTTCACTGCAGGAGATCCTGCTGGCAGGGCAAAGGTTTCACTTCTGGCTGCAGACGGCATGCAGACCAAGAGGAGTTCATGAATGGACTGAGGACAGCATGGAGTCCCTGAGCAAAGTGTCTTTGGGCTGGTGTTCAATGTGTGTTTATTTCTGAGTCAATGAACTTTCTAGACATTACTACAACTCTCCACTGTGTGGAGCCAATGCCACTGGATCAGTACTGTCTCAATTTCATGGTAAATCATAGGACATTTAAATGAAGATTTGTGACACATATTGGAGGATTTCTTCACAGTTTTAATTCAAATCACTCATGGATGGAAACTACTGAAAACCTTAGAAAAAAAATGTTTTAAACACCTCTGAAGAGACCTAACTAAATGGTGCAGAACACCAACCTGCCCACTGCTCTCACTCAATGAGCCTTTTGCTCCGTGATCTTCCTCAAGTATTCCACTTTTTTCTTTTGGCTACGATTCTCAGTTTTCCACTGAATAACATGACACATCCATCATCTGGGCTGGTCATTTAGATGGAGTGTTGAATGCACGGGAGAGGCCCTCTGTCTCAACATCCACCCATGCTCAGTTTTTTCCGGAGTCAGCAGCAGCTCCAGGAACAGCCCCAGATCTCAGGGAAACTTTCAGTCATGGAAACAAACGTGAGCAGGTTACTTTAACATGACAAACCAGAGGTCAGTCTGACAGCGACCTCTGGTTTGTCCTCACCTCCTGCTTGGCGTTGTTCTTCTCCATCAGCATCCTGATGTTCTGCTGCAGCTCAGTGACCTGCGTGGCCTTCTCAGCCAGACTCTTCCTCACCGCCTCCACCTCCATCTTGGCCTCGTCCAGCCACCCCACAGGTCGGCCACCTGTCACTCGCGGTGTCGCAGCAGCTCCAGACGTTCCTCCTCTGCCAAAAACTCGGCGCAGACTCACTTCTCCAGCTAAGCCGCCTCCAGCGCTTTGTGGAGGATCCACACCGGCTCCTGCAGCAGGCGGTGTGTTTGTGACTATTTTCTGTGGCAGCAGGGATCAATAAAGTTTTATGATTACCGAACGACTGATCACCTTCTTAGCTTTGACCTCCTCCATCAGCATCTCTTTCTCCTGCTGCAGGTGGTCTCTCCAGTCTGAGGACTGAGACACCATGTCTCTATGATGGACGCGCTGTGAGCCTTCACCCTCCAGCTACAACTCTCAAACAGTGACGGTGATTCCCTGCCATCTGCGAGGGGTACCTGATCAGCTGCATTGAGCAATGGGAGGGGAACGAAGGGGCTCAGAGGCCCAGAGGGAGTGCTGAGGGTGGGAGGAGCTGAGAAGTGAGAGAGAAGGATTAAAAGAAGTCACACGCCTGGATGTTGAAGCGCGTAAAGAAACTGATGGTGGTCATTTACAGGACAAACACAGACCAACAAGCTCTAAATAAAAACCCGATGACTGAAGAGGACCACAGCCCAAATCAGGTACCAAATATTCAGTACAGGTGAGTCACAGTTCAGGCTGATGTTTATGTCTCAAGTCTGAAGTCAAAATGAAGAAGAACCAGTCCCAGTTCAAGTCCAACTTGAAGTCACAGGTAACTATACTGTAGATGCATCTTTCTCCTTCCACACCTAATAGGCACCGCAGGCCTCATCTTTATTTCATCTATCTAAACATCTAAACGTTGCCTTATTATCTCAAAGTAAAGGCCTCACAGTATTAGAGAGACCTCAGTGATTGCATGAACCCCCATGTGGAACACTTTATGACAGAAGGAAGATGCATCAAACAGAAGCAGGATTAGAGTAGGGCAGCAATCTGTCTCAACCAAATGTGGGTGGAAACATTCCTAACATGGTTTGGTTCACTGTCACCTGTCACCTGACACCTACACAACACCAACTACAAGCTTTATTAAAAACAGAAGTCTAATAGTAAAAGCAGAGAGAGTGTTCCTAAATCCAAACTGGGAGCTCGTCTGTTATATTCTGCAAAATTTGGATCAGCTAAAGGCTTTTCAATGAGCTTTAAGAACACCTGACAATAATGAATTCCAACAGTCTATCCTGGAAGTAGAAAATGTGTGAACCAATATTTCAGTTTCCACTTTGAGAGGATGTTCTTAATTTTGGTGATATTGCATATATGAAAGAAAGAAGTCCTACATATTTGTCTAATGTGATCACTAAAGGACAAATCCTGGTTATAAATGACTCCAAGACTCCTCACAGGACTGCTGGAGGCCAAGGTAACACCATTTAGAGTAAGGATCTGTTTGGACACCATCTTTTTGAGGTTGTTATGGTCGAGTAAAATTAAAAAAAAAAAAAAAAAACTGTTGAAGGCGTTTTTCACACTCAAAATGTGTTTTTTGTGTGAGGGTTACATTTAGGTGTAGGGTCAGTGTTAGTCATTCATTTTTGATGGTTAGGGTAAGCAGCTAGGGAAAGCATTATGTCAATGGGATGTCCCCACAAGGATAGCAAACGAGATGTGTGTGTGTGTTACCTGGTTGGAGCCTTCAGCTTCTTGCGGATGCCGATGTAGATCTTTAAGGATTCTTAGGTTTGATGCTCTGCAGACACAGACGGTGAGACTTTTGTTTTTTACTGTTCTTTTACTGAGATTTGTTGGTTTTAGGTTCTTATTTTCAAGTCTTATTAGCAATGAGTGGTGAAAACAGCACCTACCACACAGCACTGTCAGGCCACTTGCTGAGCTTTTGAGAACAGAAACTCTAGTAGTTTTAGCGGCTAATGGTGGTGAAATCCCATGTGATGGGTGGATAGAGACAGAATTCTTTTTGGACTGTAACCCTGAAAATGGAGGGGAGGGAGGGAGGGATGTTACCTTCAGAAAGAATTAAACTGAGACTCTCCATCCTTGCCAGCAAAATCTCTGTGAAGTGTGGTGAGCGATCGTGGCTCAAGAGTTGGAGCCACGATCCACGACAAGGCGAGTTGGAGTTCGCCTTGTAATCGGAAGGTTGCCGGTTCGAGCCCCGGCTTGGACAGTCTCGGTCGTTGTGTCCTTGGGCAAGACACTTCACCCGTTGCCTACTGGTGGTGGTCAGAGGGCCCGGTGGCGCCAGTGTCCGGCAGCCTCGCCTCTGTCAGTGCGCCCCATGGTGGCTGTGGCTACAATGTGGCTTGCCATCACCAGTGTGTGAATGTGTGTGTGAATGGGTGGATGACTGGATGTGTAAAGCGCTTTGGGGGTCCTTAGGGACTAGTAAAGCGCTATACAAATACAGGCCAAATCCAATGCTTGTTTGCAGTGACCCTAGTGTTGCACAACTGCCCATTATTGGATTTAATGCAATAGAGGAAGTTGTGAGTAAATGGAGCAAGCAAATGTTAGAAAAATCAGCCAGATCCTGTCATTAAACACTGCTAAATCAGTGCTAAAACTATTGCAATTACCAGACCAAATCCAAAGTGTGGGCAAACTACCAGCAGGAAAGAGGGGACTATGTCTGGCTGCTGAACACATTACTACCACATATGTCCGTGCACACATTGGAGCCCAGTTTTCAGGACAGAGTCTGTTGTTTGTCCCAAATGAACCATCACAGTTGCCTGAGGGTCTTGTCATTCAAGAGGGACTGGTCACAATAACGGAGGGCAGGTCAGTGTACATCCCAGTCGCGATTGCTAATACCAACAAGCGGAATGTCAACTTAATTCCTCACACTGTTCTAGTACATCTGGAAGAAATAAAAGCAGTGTACTCCATTACCCCTGAAAAGACACAAGACTTGGTGGAGCAGATTTCTTCACAACCTCCTATACAGGTGAATGAGGTTATAAACACACCCTCCTCCTGCCATAAGCCACCTCAGTGGGACCCTCCAGTTAAATTGGACAGAGATACCAAAACCATGGTGTCAAACTCAACCCACAGAAATGTGACATTTTCAAGAGAAAGGTACGTTTCCTGGGTCGGATGGTGTCCGAAGAGGGTTATATCATGGACCCAGCAGAAATAGCTCCTGTACAAGCTCTCAGAGATAAACTACCATGCTCCACTACATCCCAAACTTTTCAAAAGTGGCAAAAACCCTGTACCAGTTGCTGACACTGCCTCAAGATAAAGCACTACCACCAGTGCCTAGGAAAAAGGGGAAAGTGGTTAAGGCAAAGCCAAAAGGTCGATCACCGCCGAACTCCAACAGACAAAAAAGACCGTGACGACACTCAGAAGAAAACAATGGAAATGTTCAACATCACAGAAAATAGCATAAAAGCAGTGACCTCAAAGAAGACAGACATCTCCTGAACTTACACAGACCTCTAACACAGTTGACCCCAACATGGAAGTGCCAGCTGGTATTTCACAGAAAACAACAGACAGCGTAAACAACATAGTACAACATTCTTCTGATATAACAATAATAATAATAATGTTGATAATACCAAGAATGTCACGATTATTCAAGTTGACCTCCCTAAAAACCTGAGATTCAATGAGGAGCCCAGAACTCCAATAGACAAGAAAGACCATGACAACACTCACGCTGTAGATAAAGCAGGAACCTCTTTGGAAAATGATGCAACTTGAACTCTGTGTCAAATACTGAGCTTCAGTAAAGATTCAAGTTGTTATTTATATTTCCTATCACCTTAAATGTTCACTCAAAGACAAGTATCTTTTTCAGTGTGAATATATATAAGAGACAAATATTGTTCTTTTAATATTTTGGCACTACTAAATTTGGCTCAATGCTTACATATATGTGTAAAAAGAAAATTTACAAGCTGTGATACAGAATAGATATCAGAGCCTTAAACAGGCTGACTTCTGCTAAATGGGTCAAACTGGGCAGAAAGTACACAAACACATAACATCCTTATAGAATAAATGGTAAATGGCCTGTATTTGTATAGTGCTTTTCTAGTCCCTAACGACCCCAAAGCGCTTTACACAACCAGTCATTCACACACTGGTGATGGCAAGCTACATTGCAGCCACAGCCACCCTGAGGCGCACTGACAGAGGCGAGGCTGCCGGACACTGGCGCCACCGGGCCCTCTGACCACCACCAGTAGGCAACGGGTGAAGTGTCTTGCCCAAGGACACAACGACCAAGACTGTCCAAGACGGGGCTCAAACCGGCAACCTTCCGATTACAAGGCAAACTCCCAACTCTTGAGCCACGATCACCCCGATTGCCTACAGTGTCACAATATCATGTGACACTATAGATAAACTTACCTCAAAATATATAGAGCATATAAACAATTACAGCAATATGATACAACAAACACAGCAGTACCGCTAATCCAAAATACTCAGTTTCATATAACTAAAACATGGACATTTGTTTTTAGGTCCATTCTGCTGCTGATACATACTTTAGGTTTCTGAATATTAAACTTGTTACTGCCTTTCATAGTGTTTAACTTGAAGGCCCTGAGTACTTTCTCCTACACTGAAAACACTTGAATGATAAAATTATTTTTAACATTACCTACTAAGACTGATTCAGGAGGAACAGTCTGTCTATTAAGGGTGGGTTATGATTAAAATCGATTCTAGCTTGGATAACGTGATATCGATTCATTAAAATCCTGAATCGATTTTTAAATATAAATTTATGTTGCCCGAAATGCCAGAATCTCAGGTTAAACCTCACAAAATTTTGACAACAACCAAACAGCTAAAACAGTAAATGAGAGCAGGTACACGGGTTCTGCACAAAGACGTAGACACAGAGCGCAGACCCGACGCATCAGAATCTGTGAGATGTCGGCTTTCTCACCCGACAGCATGTACACGGAAACGCGGTCGGGGCTGAAAGTCGACAGCTCGCTGATTCTGATGTGTGGGGTCCGCGCTCTTTATTTACGTATTTTTTGCGCTAGATTCTAAAACTGCAGGTTTTGCTTTACTCTGCTTCACTTCAGCAGCATCAGGTAATGTTAATATGGTGATTGGTTTTCTTCAGTTTTTGATATACTGCAGGATATTTTTAATGTTATCTGCTATAAAAACCCAGGCCAGGAACATCTCCTTCATGTTTTTCTGTGTTTTATCCTGAGTTACTTTGACACAAATCATGGAGCTGGGCTGTCATATAATAGAAGGAAGGATGGATGGAAAAATGTACCGAGACATTCTTGATAAAAAAAAATTTGCTTCCATCTACAAGGATGATGCAGATTCAATTCAATTCAATTTTATTTATATAGCGCCAAATCACAACATAAGTCGCCTCAAGGCGCTTCATAGATACAGAGAAAAACCCAACAATCATATGACCCCCTATGAGCAAACTCCCTTTTTAACAGGAAGAAACCTCCGGCAGAACCAGGCTCAGGGAGGGGCGGGGCCATCTGCTGCGACCGGTTGGGGTGAGAGAAGGAAGACAGGATAAAAAACATGCTGTGGAAGAGAGACAGAGGTTAATAACAGATATGATTCAATGCAGAGAGGTCTGTTAATACATAGTGAGTGAGAAAGGTGACTGGAAAGGAAAAACTCTATGCATCATGGGAATCCCCCGGCAACCTATGTCTATTGCAGCATAACTAAGGGAGGATTCAGGGTCACCTGGCCCAGCCCTAACTATATGCTTTAGCAAAAAGGAAAGTTTTAAGCCTAATCTTAAAAGTAGAGATAGTGTCTGTCTCCCGAATCCAAACTGGAAGCTGGTTCCACAGAAGAGGGGCCTGAAAACTGAAGGCTCTCCCTCCCATTCTACTTTTAAATACTCTAGGAACAACAAGTAGGCCTGCAGAGCGAGAGCAAAGTGCTCTAACAGGGTGATATGGTACTACAAGGTCATTAAGATAAGATGGGGCTTGGTTATTTAAGACCTTGTATGTGAGGAGCAGGATTTTGAATTCAATTCTGGATTTAACAGGAAGCCAATGAAGGGAAGCCAAAACAGGAGAAATATGCTCTCTCTTTCTAGTCCCTGTCAGTACTCTTGCTGCAGCATTTTGGATTAGCTGAAGGCTTTTCAGTGAGTTTTTTGGACATCCTGATAATAATGAATTACAGTAGTCCAGCCTGGGAGTAATAAATGCATGAACTAGTTTTTCAGCGTCACTCTGAGACAGGATATTTCTAATTTTAGAGATGTTGCGCAAATGGAAGAACGCAGTCTTACATATTTGTTTAATATGTGCATTGAAGGACGTATCCTGGTCAAAAATGACTCCAAGGTTCCTCACAGCGTTACTGGAGGCCAAGGTAATGTCATCCAGAGTAAGAATCTGGTTAGATACCATATTTCTAGGCTTTTCAGGGCCGAGTACAATAACCTCAGTTTTATCTGAATTAAGAAGCAGAAAGTTAGCGGCCATCCAGGTCTTTATGTCTTTAAGACATTCCTGCAGTTTAACTAATTGGTGTGTGTTATCTGGCTTCATGGACAGATAGAGCTGGGTGTCATCTGCATAGCAGTGAAAATGTATGCTATGTCTTCTAATGATACTGCCTACGGGAAGCAGGTATAATGTAAACAGAATTGGTCCTAGCACTGAACCCTGTGGAACTCCATAATTAACCTCAGTGTGTGAAGAGGACTCTCCATTTACATGCACAAACTGGAGTCTATTAGATAGATATGATACAAACCACTGCAGTGCAGTACCTGTAATACCTACAGCATGTTCTAATCGCTCTGATGGGATATTATGGTCGACAGTATCGAATGCTGCATTTCTAGCAGGACAAGCACAGAGATGAGTCCACTGTCAGAGGCCATAAGAAGATCATTTGTAACCTTCACTAAAGCTGTTTCTGTGCTGTGATGAGCTCTGAAACCTGACTGAAACTCTTCAAATAAACCATTCCTCTGCAG